TTAGCATCTCTCAGCTCTTTGCCGAACCCTCTGCTCTCTTTGTGGCCAGCTCTGGTTGTTTGTCAGGAATGATGGCTGAGGGACGCACATGCACTCAGGGGAGGGCTGGTCCAACCAGAATCACTCACATTTTCCATCCTAGGTGCCAGCCATCTCTCTCCTCTCCCTACCCCAGAGACAGCCAGGTTTAGGTCACCTGGCTTAGAGGCAGACAGCTGATAGCCAGGCCCCCAAATTTCAGGCCTTTGGAGCCCTGGTATTTCCTTTCAGTTCCCCTCCATGGCTGAAATGGGAGCTGACTGATTGGCAACTTTTATACTTAAGCAAAAAGCCTGCTGACTAATTCCTCATCTCCAGGGGCTCACCCTCCACCCCAGCCTGCTCTGCTCTGAGGCTGCTTGTGCTGGTCCGTCAGCCAGACACCCTGAGTCTTCCTGGACAGCCCTTTCATCGTCCTCATGTTTACACCTTTATGCTTGTGCAACCCAATGCAGTAGCTATTTACATTGAAATATACCATACACTTTTATATTAATAAAAATAAAGAAAATTTAAAATGTTAGCCTCATTTCAAGTGCTCAGTAACCATACACGGCCGGTGGCTACTGTTGTGCAGCTCAGATACGGATCCTTTGCATTAGTGCAGAAAGTTCTACCAGACAATTCTGATCTGTACAGCCTGGAATTCTAGAGCATTGGTATCCGAAGCACATCTCACAGACCGTTTTGTCCTAGAAGTTCCTAAAGTTCCCTTAACTTTTTGAGTGAACATATGCCCAAAACATCAGGGTCTGGTGGTATTTGAGGTCACCTGGAAAAGGATGCCTCCGAAGACATGTCTCCTATCAAATTCACCATTACCAAGTCTGAATGCCTGCTATTTCTGCACTGTGGGACACATGGGACCCAGGATATTCTTGATGTGTGTGATCTTCAAAACATCACTTCATTTGCAAAAGAGGGAACTTGGTGTCTCATAGTTTCATCCAGGCCATCAGCCCTGACAGCCGAATGTGACAGCTGGATGTGGAATCCAGTGCTGGCAGAGGAGGAGGGGGCAGAGCTGAGAGAACCACAGCTGGGGGTGGATGCTTCTAGGTCTGCCCCGCCTGGGGTTGCGAAATGCCTCTCACAGGCCCCACATCGCGCTTTCTGAACCTCTTAGACAGGAGCCTTTGCTGCAGAAGGAAGAGAGAGGATTTTCTCCTTTTTTTTTTTTTTTTTTTGGTCTTTCCCTCATCCAGAGAGCAGGGGCACTTTCGGGTAAGAGGTTTAACCAGAAGCAGTTTCTTTTTGGAACAGGGGCAGTTGCTCATCCCCTGCCAGTTCCTGCAGGCAAAGAGCATGCCGGCCTGGCCTGCTGCTTCAGCCCTACCTGTCATGTGCTTGGCAAGGCTGACTTGAGTCCTTTTTTCCACTGCCTTCCCCACCCCATCAAATAGCAGTTGCAACCTCTCATTTTTCTGCTGCCTACATGATTAAAAAGCATGACTTAGTGGAAAAATCTTGACCTCCTTAGGGTCAGCCTCTTAAGCAGCTGTCGTAGATAAGATTGTGCTGGCAAGATACTCAGCAATACTTTGCAAGCCTTCTGTCTGTATGTAAGGAAATGAGAAGCTGTTTGCTTCTGGGTGCCTTTTGTTTGTCTTTGGGGAGAGCTACAATTTTCAGAGGCATAAACTGGTATTATCTGATAATAGAATAAAGTCTCTGATGGAAAGTTTAGATTATTATAGTGATTTTTAAAAATGTAATTAACAGGCTTTGTCAAAAAATGTTTTATTTATTTATTTATTTTGGATGACGCCTGCTTTGAACAATTCAGGGAGGGAGCAAAGTTCTCTGGCAACTAAGCAGTATCAGAAGTTCAATGCTCAGACTTCCCCCGAGGACTTAAAGACTTAATTGTGCAGCTCCTGGTATGAAAGGCATTGTTTGGAATTGTTTTAATTACTGTGTTAGTATTGCTGCCTCTTGATTGCAGATTGAATGCTTACCGTAGTCCTGTTGATACTGCTCCAGAAAAGACATTCCGATTTGAATTTAGCATATGTCCTCAAAACATTTTATTATATTTGCACTTGCCACGGACTTGTATCCATCTGGTGAGACAGGAAGGTCACCTTGCTTCTCAAAAGGAGCAATGGAGGAAAGGGTGATTGAGAGGATTTGGTTGGGGTTTGATGTCAAGGACATAGTGAGAATCTGGGGTCTGTGGCTTGACACAGTGTGTTATCAAATGAACGCCTTACTTGAAGTTCTTTAGGTCTGAGTTTGGGCCCCAGACCAGCCACTTCCTAGTTCTGTGGCCCTGAGGTCTGAGTTTGGGTTCCAGATCAGCCACTTCCTAGTTCCGTGGCCTTGAGGAAGTCACTTGCCCTTTCTGGGCTTCAGTTTCCTCATCTGTAAAATAGGGATCACACTACTACATACTTCATAGGACTATTGTCAAGATAGAGATTCTGATCAACCAATATGCCTGGCACATCTCCCATCATCGTCATAATTTTACCATCTGGCCCCCACTGCCAATTTTAGTTAAAGACCTATTCCCAGCTTAAAGCAAATGTCATGCTCCCCACCCTTATTGTTGTCCTCTTCTGACTGTTGGCCTTGCTGCTTTTTGTCCTTTTCATAGGTGATTATAGTTAGAATCCGGTTGTCACCTCTCTCAGCTGGGGAGTCACAAGGTAGGCACAGCCCCCGGCTTAAGGTCTGAGGATAGAGACAGGGGACCAGGTCTGTCCTGGGCCAGGTGTCCATCTCTTCTTGGTAGTTCACAGCTCTGTCTCAGGTCCTGAAGGTTCAGAACAGCTGTCTGAACTGGGAAGCTCAGCTTCTGGACCTGGCTGCCCAGAGGGTCATCTTGGGGCCTCCAGTAGCTGAATGGGCAGTTAAAGCCCAGGGCCTTGCCCACCCTTCCTGGTCAGTTTTCTATCTGCGAAATGGGCACGTTCACCCAGTGGCATCCGTTCATTTTTAAAAAGGGTACAGACATTGAAAACAGAAGATCTAGGTTTAAATCCTGGCTCTTCCATGTGACCCTCAAAGCCTGAGGGTCTCACTGCTCCTAGGGCGCGGTGAGGCCCCACGGGGGTGATGCCTGAAGAGCGTTGTCGACGGCAGCATGCTCCCACTCGTTGGGGCTCCCCTCGCTCACTCTCGGAGCCCATGCCTGGAAGGGCACCTTGTGTCGTCACCTGCAGGGAGGGGCTCTGGCTTCACATGAGAAGGGAGGAGGGGTCAAAAGAGGCCACTTGACCCTCTCCCAGTTCAGCACATGCAGGGTCTAGGTGTGCAGACCAGTCCAAAGGCAGAACTGCAGTGTTGGCCACATCAGGAAGAGAAGGCCCGCAGGGAGGCCAACCTGCCCCACGCTCTCTTTCAACCCGACTCCCCCAGCCCCTCCCCTGCCTTGTTTTCCTCCTGGCTGCCACTAGGGTACTTTTTATAAGGCTTGTTAAGTCTTTAATGGTGCCTGGTTGTGCAGCTGGCTTAAGGCTTAATCCCCAGCAATGGGGCTTTATTGGCTAAATGGTTAATAATCACTTGTCTGCACAGCTTTCACTGAGGCTGGTGATTCCTGGGAGCCCTGGCTGACTTGTGACATGGTCAGTGACTTGACTTGGACAGCGCTGCTTGGGGTTGGGGTGCAGTAATATGGGGCGCCTTCATGGCTCCACGGAAGTTGGGAACGCCTGAGACTGTAGGGGAGCACCTCTCTCCCTGGGGAACAGAGGACACCTGTCTGTTGCTGTGGGGTGTCTGGATCTGAGCCGGGTATGGACAGTCCCCAGGGTCTCTTCAAATGTGTGTCCACCCTCTCCTGGTTTGGCCTTCCTTTCTTTTGCCATTAACAAGCCGTGTGACCTCAAGCAAGTCTCTTGACCCCTCTGGGCCTCAGTTTCCTCATCTATCAAATAAAGAGAGGTTGGAAGAGATGGCCTTGAAGGTGCCATGTGATTCTGTGAGCCCCCAACGTCCTAGAGGCTCCTCTCCAGTTCTGGGATGTGTCGCCGAGGGCTGTGAATGGCAAGGGACCAGCAGCCCATTGTATTAAGTACTTCGTCTGCTGGGCAAAGAATTGGGTTAGCGGCTGTAGTCGCTGAGCAGTGTACATGAAGGAAGTACACAGAAGCTGTCAATTTTATAGCATGGTTTGGGGTTTCCTCCTGCTCTGGGCAGAACACACAGTAGGAATTTTTTTTAAGCCTCATTGATGGGGCTCAGGAGAGAGAAGTAAATTCTTTCAGGTGTAGAGCTGTCAAGGAGTCAGGAGTTGTTCTCAGGTGAAAAAGGAGCCTGGGATTTTGTTCCCAGCTGGCGTGTGATTGGGGCCTCACCCTCAGCCCTTATTTGGCCTTTGACTGTACGGTTGCAGTGAGATTGGGACCCATCCAATGGTGCTGGGACACGGGCATGGGAGTCAAAGAGACCTGGGTCTGCCTCTCTTTCCATCACTCATTTCCAGGCTGCATGTTCAGGTGACCTTCTCCAAGCCTGAGGTTCTTTTAAGATAGTATCAGCAACACCTATTTTTCAGTATGAGCATGTTAGTTCAAAATTATAATGTGAAGCACCCGGTAGCTGGCTCATACGAGGTGCTAATCCTGGGAGGAACTTAACCCGTGGGACCTGTCATGTGCTTTTTGGATGGCTAGAGTCAACGCTCGCTAGAAACGGAGATGTGACTTCCTGGGGATGACATCATTTTGAATTCTTTTATCAGAAATAAAATAAAAGGTGCACACAGGGCTACCCCACCTTTTAGACTTGGTGGTGCAGCCCTGAAAACTTTGTGCTTCCAGCTGAGGGGCGATTTCCTATATTTCCCCAGAATGTGCTTCATGGCTCCTGCCTTCCGCCCTCCCCACCCCACCCCACCCCCAGTCTCCCAGATGTGGCATACAGCAGGTGCTCAGTCCTGTGTGTGTATATGAAATGGAATTTCTCTTTTTTGATCTGCATGTGACCGAGGGCTCGCTCTGCTTTTATTTCAGATCTTCCCCGACCCGTCAGACTTCGACCGCTGCTGCAAACTGAAGGACCGCCTGCCTTCCATAGTGGTGGAGCCCACGGAGGGGGAGGTGGAGAGTGGGGAGCTGCGGTGGCCCCCCGAAGAGTTCTTGGTCCAGGAGGATGAGCAGGACAACTGTGAAGAGACAGCGAAAGAAGACAAGGAGCAGTAGAGTCCCCATCGACTCCCACCGGGTCACACCAGACAGCATCTGTACCTGAACTTGTGTTCTTTCCTATTGTGATGGAAGAAGAGAGTGAGCCACGGTCGTTCTGAAATGCCAGATGATGGCTTCCGTTTTGCACCTGCGAATCACTGAGTGGGTCTTCTTTCCTTTCCTTTTCTTTTTTTGAACTGTGTCGAGCAGTGGAGCCCTCTGCGACGCTCTGCAAGGCCTTCTGAGAAAGGAAGCTGCTTAGAGCAGGGGTGGGGGGTGCGGGAAGCTTTGGTCTTTGAGATCAGTATCTGAACTCAAGCAGCTAGAGGCGCTGGTGGGATTCCAGTGGGCTCGGGGGCGGGGGGTGGGGTGGGGGGATGGGGGATGTGCACAGCGAGCAAGGAACACTTGGGGTAAGAAAACAAACGCGAGACAAAAAAGAAAATACATGTTTTAAAGAAAACATTGAGCAGAGACTTGCAGCCGGGAAGCACTACTCAGTGAGCATTTGCTCCTGCTGCTGTTGGCCATCAGACAACAAAGTCTTCATCTCTCTCTCCGGCTTCGCCCACCGCCAGCTTTTGCTTTTATTTCAGGTGTGTTTTCTCTTCCGGGGGAGGCGGGTAAAGGAGGGCAAATGTGACCTGGCTGCCTGCAAAGCCAGCTGGAGGTGATTCTCGGGAAAGGAAAAGGCCTCCCATTCCTTCCCCCACGGACCCGCTGTTCTGGCTGTGGCAGGTTCACACACCTGCAGTAATCTGGAGTATTTTTCTAAGAGGCAGCGCTTTTGAGCTTCTCTCCCCTGTTTATCTTTTGTGCTTCCCCCACCCCCAGCCCCAGCCCTTTCGGAAGCAGTGAGACTACTTCCTGCCCTTGTTGGAGGACCAATGTGGACACTTGGACATGAAGGTCCTCCCCAGCTGCTCCCCCTAGGCTTGCTCTCCGAGCAGAGGCACAGAGCAGGCGGGCTCTCCCAGGCCGGCCCATCCCCCGCCTGCCATGGCTCTGCCCAGCCCCGGGCCACAGCCACCAGGCAAAGGTGGCTCCCAGTGAGCCCGGTCAGCTGCGGTCCCCACTCTGACATAGTCTTGGCCTGATTTTCTGGTGGGAGCTGAGGGGAGAGCAGGAGGGTTTTTCTGCTTCTTGTCGGGGAGGTGAGTTCAGTGCAGGCTTGGAGGGCTGGCAAAGCCTGGGAATTAGTGGATGGGGGTGAGGAGGCTCTTGTGCAGCAACCTGGGGATCGAGGTCGAAACTAAAAGGTGTCACGAGACCCCTGGGTTCTGGATGCAGGTGGGAAGATGGCGTGGTGAGGGAGTGTGGACCCATGGTCCTCGTCACTCCCCACTTCCCGCCTGTCCCTGCAAGGGCCCAGTTACACGAGGAAGCTAGCCTTGGACTTAGAGCTTCTTACAGTTCAGAACCACCAGGAGCAGCAGGAGACAGGACAAAGTTCCAACCACCTCTCTCTCAGAGCAGACTGTGCTGCCAAGAGGTGGGCTCGAGAGCCTCCCTGGAGTTGACCTCTCCCAGTCGGGCACCCACGTGTCCCCTCAGGTGTCCGGTCAGTCCAGGTTGACCCCGGTTTTGGACTTGGTTATAAAGCTGTATTTAATACCTCAAGGGTAGTGTGGCTCTGGGAGACATTGGGCAGGAGGACCAAGGAGTGCTGTTGACACACAGCAGGATTGGGTTTGGGGCAGCCGAGACTCTCCCATCCCCCCGCTCCCTTCCTCTGTGTTGTCTGCTTGTGTTACACACACCGATGGCAATAACTTCTTCCAGCTCCTCGAGGAAGTGGGAGAGGCCTGCAGCCTGCACCGGGGGGTTCTCCCTCTTGCTCGCCCTTTCCTTCTGCTCTGGCTGCAGAGAGCTTTCCCTCCGACTCCCATTCTCTCACAGAAGCATTTCTCATCCTGTGCCTCCCTTGTGGACGGGGTCTTGCCTTTTAATCCTGTGTTTTCGTGTCTCCCTCTCGTGCTCCCCGGTATCATCTGTCCATGTGATGGGAACGTGCTTGTAAACTGCCTAACAGATCTACTTTGTGTATATGTGTGTTTATGGGGGTGGTTTATTTTTGCTGGTCGCTAGACCCCTTTGTACGACCATTTGGAGTCTGAGCAGGCCAGAGGCTGACAGCTAAAGTCAGGACCCTCAGCAGTGAGCCTGTTGGGGGGACCCAGCCGCTCTTGGACAAGTGGCTGAGCTCCTGTCTGGCCTCCTTTTTTTTTTTTTTTTTTTTTTTAAAGTATCTTGTGTGTATTTCTAACTGATTGTATTGGAAAATAAACCTAGTATTTCAGTAGAAATGCCTGTTGTAAGATGAACCTCCTGTAAGTTCTATCTGTTCTTTTTTGAGGCTCAGGGAGAAATTAGCTTTTTTTTCCCCCCCAAAACTACTTTTTGTCACTGTGACAGTTGTAAATAAAGTTTGAAAATGCTTTCCACGCTGGTCTGGTTTCCTTTCTTCCTTCCTGCTCCATTGGAACAGAAAGAACACAAGAAAGACCGAGGTGAAACTCTCGTAGGAGGCTGGGTTGCGGGGGGGGCCCATATAAAGTTCCCTACATGTCCCCTGTGGGCCCTTTGGGGGTGAGTCCATCTTTTTTTTTTTTTAAATCACTTGGCTGAATGAAAGCAGCCTGTTTTTCTATGTTGGTGGTTCTCAACTCTGGGTGTATATCAGAATCACCAAGAAGTCTTTAAAAATATACAAAGACCTGAGTTCTACACCCCAAGACTTGGCTTTCAAGAGGCTGGGGTGAGATTGAAACATTAGTATTTTTTAAAATCACCTGGGGAGATTTTAACATACAGCCATGGTTTAAAACCACTATTCTAAGGGAAGAGAAATACACAAGATGATTCTCATTTTGTACACAAAAACTAGGGGTGAGTGGAAAGGTAGGTATGTAGCTAAAGACAGCGCCAGCGCTCATTGAGACCATGCATTGAGTGCCTGCCACTTAGGCATGGGGAGAGATTGGTGTAAACAACGTAGCAGTGATCCCAGCCCTCATGCACTGCTTCAGTATAAAACTTGATGACAAACATGGTGAGGGCAAGGCAAGAAGGAGGAAAAACAGGGTCCGAAAAGGCATCTGAAGTGACAAGGGGCAGGAGAAGAGGGGAGGGAGTATATAGAGTGTTTCTGGCAGAGAGAAGGCTTGGGATGATCCTGGCTAATGGGGGTGGGGAGAAGGAAATAGCGCAAGGAAGGTTGCTTAGTCTGGGTGAAGAGCTTGGATTTTATTCTAAGTGCAGGGCGTAGAAAAGCATAATTTACATTTTGATATGGTCCGGCTGAATGGAAAAGGAACTAGAGTGGCCATGATGGAAGGCCCAGAGACCAGGAACGAGGCTCCATGGAGGTCAGAGAGACAGAAGGCGGTGCTTTGTGAAAGAATTTTTTGGACATTTTTCTAACCCAACTCTGGATTGTCCTATGTGCAAATTTTCCTCCAACAGCCTGAGGATAGAGTTTATTAGAATATAGCCTCCTTGGATATAGCTCCTAATAAAGTTGTCTTTATTTCCAGATGACATTGTCTATGTAGAAAATCCCATGAAATACACACACACATGCGCACCAGCATGCTACTAGAACTGATATGTGAGTTAGGCCCAGTTGCAGCATCTAAGATTAAGATACAAAAATTGACTATTTCTATAGTATAGTAGCAATAAATAATTGGAAGTTGACATTTAAATTACCACTTACATTATCATCAAAAAATAAACTACTTAGGGATAAATCTGACAAAAGATGTGCAAAATCTCTTCAATGAAAACTACAATACACTGCCGGGAGAAATTAAATAAGACCTACAGAAAAAGAGAGGTATACTATGTTCATGGATCTGAAAATGCAATGTTAAGATGCCATTTTATCCTAATTGATCTATAGATTAAACATACTCAAAATCCCAGTAATCTTTTTGTGTAGAAATTGATAATCTTATTCTGAAATCCATATGGAATGCAAAGAACCTGGAACAATCAAAGCAATTTTGAAAAGTAATTTCAAAAAGACCAAAGCCTCATTTTCAAAGTTACAGAAATCAAAACAATGTAGTACTGGCATCTAAATGGACAAATAGATCCATGGAACACCACAGAGAGTCCAAAAATAAATGCACACATTTATGGCCAATTGCTTTTGACAAAGGCAACTCAGTGGAGAAAGAACAGTCTTTTCAACAAATGGTACTGGAACAATTAGATAGCCATCTGCAAACAGTCCCTGGGGATGAAAACATGAGTCTTCACTTTTGTCTCTCATTGTTTTCATGACATTTTCTAAATAGAAAAGTTATTCATTTAGAAATAAATTCCTTTTCCATGGTTGGCCAATCATTTCAATACTGTCCCTATTCCACCCCAGATCACCCCCTGCATCCTAAAAGAGGAGCACTGGGTGACAGCTGGTGACCTCTGCTGTGTTACTCAGGCTGACTTGCATTCAAGTCCTGCTCTGCCCCTCCATATGTCATTTGCAGCCAGTTTCTTGCTGTACAGGATCCTTAGTGTTTTTTATGAAACAGAGATAAGGCTAGTACCTCCTGCACAGGTGTGCGAACCCTGTAGGGTTGAGCACCCAGTAGGTGCTCCAGGAGTGAGGGTTTTTTCACGCTTTGCCTTGAAGATCTGGTATCTACAGAAGTAGCTCCTGCCTTCTCTTCCCTGCTTCTTGCTCCGGGACATTTGTGCACACCAGAGTCAAGGGGAGCCTCAAGATGAAGGCACCTCCCTACCTGCAAACTCACCTCCCTTAGTCTGCCCCTTTTCTTCATCACTATGGGTGTTTGGGGGGTGGAAAGCAGTGAGAAAAAGAGAATTTAATGCCTTCTGCCCACCGAAATATGGAGGAGGGAAGTGGGAGACATCTCCCATCAAGGTGGGCCTGATGCATGGCTCCTTTTAAAGAGGTGATCCTTGGACAGAGACCTATTTGAAGTGATGGTTGAGCTTTGTGTATTTTGGGGAGAGATTTCAGGTTGGGTGACACCCAGCACAAAGCCCCTTTGGAAGAAATGGACTTGACCTGAGGAATACCTGTGATCTGGCATGGCTGGGGCACAGAGAAGGAGGAGTAGCTGCAGTTAGATACCACAGGGAATCACTACTGCCCATGTGAGAAGCCCACCGAGGAAGGAAGCAGGCTCAATAGGCATCCCGTCCCTGGTCAGGCCCTCCAAAGTTATCTGACTCCTGACAAATGGCAGTCAGTATTGATGGACCAGAGGC